ACCAGGCTTTCGAAACAGGATTAATGTAGCTTCTGCTAATGCAGTAGAAACCTCTGACAATTTCAATGATGTGAAAGAAGATAACAGATCTGTTACTATCAGTCAAGAGGAGTATCGAAACCTTACTGATCTTTTCCAACGGACAAACATGGAGACTGGAAATGAAGGCACTACATCTCATAGTGCACACATGAGTCAAACTGCTCAAGGAATGGCTCTGCCAATAATGGTAAGCCTTCTGTCCATTGGGTTGTGGATACGGGGGCAACTGATCATATAAGTTCTACACTTTCTCATTTTTCTTACTTTAAGAAAATTGAACCTATATTGATTATGCTGCCTAATGGTCATAAGGTATTATCACAACACTCTGGCACAATCATCTTATCTTCATCATTGAAATTGGTTGATGTGTTATATGTACCTGAATTTCAAGTAAACTTGATTTCAGTTGCGAAATTACTGACACAATATGAACTCATATTTTGTGGTTCTATTTGTTATATAAAGCAGATCCTTTCAAACCAAGTAATTGGTTCTGCTAAATTGCATAATGGGCTCTTCATTCTGGAAGCAGAAGACTCAATATACAAGATGAAGACTGCTGATACTTCTTGTTCTGATAATTCTGTTAAGCCAATCATAGCTATGAATGTTGTTTTTAATAATTGTGTTAGCAATGTCACTGTTGACACTTCTCTTTTATGGCACTATCGTTTAGGCCATATTTCTGATGTTGTAATGACAGATATGTGTAATCATTTTCCCTTTGTACGTTGTAGTAAGGCAGGAGCACCTTGTAATGTTTGCCATTTTGCAAAGCAGCGAAAATTATCATATTCTAACAACAATAGCATTTCGCAAAAGCCATTTGATCTAATCCACACAGATATTTGGGGTCCTTTCTCAGTACCTTCAATTAATGGTGAAATATATTTTTTGGCCATTGTAGATGATTTCTCCAAATTTACTTGGGTGGTGATGAAACACAAGGGAGAAACTCGTATTCATCTTCGTAATTTCTTTCAATTAATTGAAAACCAGTTTGGTACCTCCATTAAGATGATTCGCAGTGACAATGGTGCAGAGTTCATGATGCATGATTTCTATGCAAGTAAAGGAGTTATACACCAGACTTCATGCGTTCAAAGTCCACAACAGAATGGTGTGGTTGAACGAAAACATCAACACATTCTTAATGTTGCAAGAGCCTTATGCTTTCAGGCTAATCTACCTTTGAAGTTCTGGTCATTCTGTGTTCTGCATGCTGTTCACCTCATCAATCGAGTTAGTAGTCCCCTCCTTGCTGGAAAAACTCCATATGAATCACTTTCTGGTCAGCCACCCATACTGATCCACTTAAAAGATTTTGGATGTCTCTGTTATGCAAGCTCTCTCACTGCTAGACGCACCAAATTTACCTCTCGAGCTCGAAAATGTCTGTTTCTGGGTTACAAACTCGGTACAAAGGGGTATGTTTTGCTGGATCTTAATTCTCATGAGGTTTTTATTTCACGAAATGTGGTATTCTACGAGCAGCATTTCCCATTCAATGTTCCTTCCCAAGATTCACCTTCCATAACCATAGAAACATAGAATCCTAACCCAAACACCACTCTTGATGATGATTTTCCACACTCAAACCCAAACAGTTTACCTAACCTCATACCTACAGAATTCATTCCATCTCAAACACAAACACAAACTGTCCCTCTTTCCTCTCCTCAAACACAAACTGTACCTACCTCTGAACCTGTTATCTCTAATTTCTCTAATATATCTCCTCATAGGTCTAATCGATCCAGAAGAAACCCCACCTACTTAAACAATTTTCATTGCAATCTTGCTTCCTCAACACCATATCCTTTGTCCTCTTTTCTATCCTATGACTCATGTCCCACTTTCCACACCAAACTCTGTCATAGTATTAACACCACATGTGAACCTTAAACCTATACTGAAGCTGCTCAACACGATTGTTGGAAAGATGCAATGACATCTGAACTGAGAGCTCTTGAACAAAATAATACTTGGCTTCTCACAGCACTTCCTCCTGGTAAGCATCCCATTGGATGCAAATGGGTTTTAAAACCAAGCTCCGAGCCGATGGCAGTATTGAACGTCATAAGGCACGTCTTGTAGCTAAGGGTTATACCCAACTTGAAGGCGTGGACTTTCTCGATACCTTTTCTCCAGTTGCAAAAGTTGCTACCATCCAGATTCTTCTCAACGTTGCCACTGCGAGGGGCAGGAACTTGGAGCAACTTGACGTTAATAACGCATTTCTACATGGGGAACTTCACGAAGAAGTTTACATGAGGCTGCCTCCTGGAGTTGTATCAGCTGAACCCAACCAAGTTTGCAGATTCCAAAAATCCTTATATGGATTGAGACAAGCGAGTAGGCAGTGGTACTCTCGTCTCACTTCTGCACTAACCTCCATTGGATATAGGCAATCTGAGGCTGATCATTCTTTGCTTATCAAGGTAACATCGAACTCATTTACAACCTCTTTGATCTATGTTGATGATATCGTGTTAGCAGGAGATAGCATGAAAGAAATTTCTGATGTTAAATCATTCCTGGATTCTGAATTCAAAATTAAAGACTTGGGCAAACTGCATTATTTTCTCGGTCTTAAGATTCTCAGAATAGAGGAAGGAATGGTCATCAATCAACGTAAATATGCCTTAGACTTGATTGTCGATGGTGGTGTAATTGGCTCTAAGCCAACCTCCACACCAATGGAACCTAGAACAAAATTGAATCGTGAGTCAGGCACAACATATGAAGATGCTGGAACATATAGGAGACTTATTGGTAGGTTATTGTATCTGACTACTACAAGACTTGACATATGTCATGCAGTACAACAACTTAGCCAGTTTATTTCGAATCCTAAGCCGTCCATATGAAGGCTGCATTACACGTATTGAGATTCATCAAAGGTGCTCCTGGGAATGGTCTGTTCTTCTCAGCCAAGAATGATCTCATACCTAGTGGTTTTGCAGATTCAGATTGGGCCACATGTTCTGATACTAGAAGGTCAATAACATGTTTCTGTGTGTTCTTGGGCAATTCATTAGTAGGCTGGAAATCAAAGAAACAGACGACGATATCCAGAAGTTCCTCCGAGGTAGAATATCGAGCATTGGCCTCATTAACTTGCGAGTTGCAGTGGCTTCGTTATATCCTGGATGATTTGAATGTTAAGATTCCTAAGCCTATTTCGGTTTATTGTGATAATCGCTCAGCCATCCACTTGGCTCACAACCCTAGTTTCCATGAAAGAACTAAGCATATAGAGATCGATTGTCATTTGATTCGCGAGAAGATCACATTGGGTCTTATACATCTCCTCCCAGTTTCTTCTGCAGCACAATTAGCTGATCCTTTTACTAAGAATCTGTCACCAGATCCTTTTAAGAGTTTGACTGGCAAGTTGGGCTTGGTCAATGTCCACCATCCAACTTGATGGGGGATGTTAATATTTGTTATTTATCATCAGTATGCGAGTTGTATCAAATGATTGTATTTATCAGTAGAAGAGTTAGTTAGAAAGATAGTTAGCTTTGTAGAGTTTGTTAAAACTGAAGTTAGTTCAGTCAGTTTATTCTGTTTTCACTCCATGTATATAAATGGAGTAACTGTCCATATTGTACTCACTTTTCATTAAGGGTAAAGTGTGTGTCATTTTAAAGGATGTAAAGTTATGTCATTTTAAGAGAGAGAAAGAGATAGATAAAGGAGGAGAGAGAGTTGACAAAAAAAATAAAGGTATGGGTCCCACCTCTTTGTGAGAGTGAAAGGTTTGTTCTAAACATTTTTCCCTTTCATTAATGCAATATACAGATTCTTTAGTCGTTTTTCTCTCTTATTCCTTCGGTTCTAATAATTTCTACTGTAACACGTGATTCGTGAATAATCAACAAATAGATTCCGAATAATGAATGACCAACACAATTAATAATAATCAAACCATCACGCCGACTAATAAGTTTTGAATTCAATTTCTGATGATAATTTTCAAAATCATTACAAGTTAAAAGCGGCTAAGGCATTTAGGGTAAGTCTCTGGTGTACTTGAATATAGTTTGAAATAGTTTTCATTTTTTGCGATGCTATTTCTAATTGGTCTAATCACCAACTTTGTTTTTTGTTTTTTTGTTTTTCAAAACGTTGTCGAACGCCCTAAATCTGCCCAAATAAAACTTGTTTCCATATTAATGATGTCGATTCTTAAAAAATGTAAAACTAAAGACACCATAGTAGACGGTCTAAAATAAATAAAAAATAACTTTGTGTCAAAGTCAACTTCTGATTTAGAAAGCGGAGGAGGAAGAATCGTAGCACACGAACATAACTTATTTTTTTCTTTTTGTCATGAATTTTTTTTTAGGAATCAGGATCACCCTCTTAAGACATTTTTAGGTTTTTGGATAAATTTATATAAAATATTTTTACGGTACAAGATTTTTGGAGTTATTTTTTAAAATTTACTCTTATTAACTTACGACAAAAATGCCAAAATTATTTTCTTAAGTTTCAACTGAAAAATTATTTAATTGTTAACTTTTAACTTTTATTAAAAAATTTACTCTTATTAACTTTTTAAATTGTTAACTTACGATACAAACATATATCAAATGTATTATATTTTCGGTGTATCAGAGCTATTGCACTTTCCCATCTTAAAAGATCATTTGCACATTAAGAAATTTTAAGATTTAACTGAAACATATTTCAGGGTGTACATTGAGGAGTTCTAACAATGGACTTGTGTAATCAATCAGCAGATTGAAGGTATAATGACAGTATATTCAAATAAGAAAGCTACTTCTATAAGGGAGGAAAGTAATTGTCTAATTTATTATATTCAATTATTTACAATTACAAATTCAAAAAATTAATCAATGTAATAAAAGTTTTTTTACAAATTAACTCTGTCAGAGTCCTTATTTCCTGTTTGTTTTTTTTTTTTTTTTTTTTTTTTTTTGGGATTAAATTTTGAGCACGAAGGAATTTGGCCAGCACTGATCAAGGTTGGATTCCGTTACGTTTTCTAACGGCGATCTGACATTTCTCATGTCACCAACTGTCAACCCGTGACGGCTGTCATCTCTGACATAAACCAGCTGGACTCCGCCGGATTCTACTCCAACGGTCTTTCCAAGGCTGGGCCCCCACTCCGCCAACATCGCCGGTATCCGACGCCGGAGCCGCGTGTCCCAAATACTCAGCGCCAAATTCCCCGACGAGTTTTCTCCAGCGGAAACCACCACCGCAGGTGAAGAACAGGAAACCGCCGGAGTAGGTGGTTTTCCGGTGGGGATGGGTCGGAGTCCTTGCTCCTCGTTAACGCCGTAAACCGAAACGACGCTTCCGTCAGAGGAGGCGCAATGGTCGAAACCAAACCCTATGGTGTCCCATAGCTTAACCACGCTTTTACTGTTGACAATTTCTGAAAGCGAGAAGATATCGCCAATGCTACGACGACGTCGCAGGAACCCGCCGTCACCGTTGCCGGAACCTCTAACTCTGAAATACTCACCGGTTCTGTCTTGTTCGTCGTCGTCGTCGTCGTCTTCAGATTCCGATGATAAAGTCGAGTTCGAGAGTTCATCTTCTTCTTCGGTGTCGCTGTAATCATCATCACCATGGTGGATGAGAAGAGGAATGGAAGGAACGTGTTGACGGAATATGATGATGAGAATGGTGCGGAAGGTGGCGAGTAGAGCGAGAATAAGAGCACCCCATTTGCAGAGATTGTAAGCTATGGAAGCAGGTTGAAACTGAGAGGCAAATGATGAGTTTTGCTTCTGAACATAATTGAGGATATGATTGAGCCTGTTAATCACATGAACTTGCATCTTAGGGTTTTTGTTTTCAAACAGAAGAAACAGAGGAAGAGAAAAAAAAAATGATGAGAAAGAAAAAAGAGTGATTTATGGGGGAGCAAAGCCAAAGTGGTCGTAGATAATAAATAGTGTATAAATAAATGCAAAACAAAAATGGGAGATTTAGAGAATATTCGCTGCACGTGAAGTGTTTGATTGAGTCATTTGCTCTGTTTTACAGGTCTATTGCCTCTGTCAATGTGGATGATGATCACAATTCACAAACATCAAGATTCGGATAATTTAGTTTTCAACTTTCCTTCTGTGGTCATAAAACAGATACATAAATTATTTCTTTTAATCAGAATTCCCAATTCTCTAATTATAACTTATCCATATTTGTCACGTGTATAATGTTCCCAACTAAAACGTGTAATAATTGTACAACAATCCCCCCTCTAAAAAAAATGTGCAATACGATAAAACATGTCTCAGAAATTTTCGGGGTTTGACTCGAAAAATTATCTTTCGGTGAGTTTTGTGGATAAAAAATATTAAATATTACGAAAGTATTTTCGTAGTAATTTTTAAGTAATAAAAAATTATTACGTTTTGTTAATTTTGGCCAATGGGTCAAGAAAGATACACACCATGATGACAAGCTACTATAAAAGAAGATGATAACAATATATAGATGGCGTAACAACTAACAACTAACAACTAACAAATTACTAGCCTTTGTACAAACTTTAAACTTTGCACGACAAGCTACGATTGTTTGGAAGTGGTCATGGTTAGTAATTAGTTACGACAGCATCTGAGAAGTTTCGACATCAGCTCGAGATTAGTTTCGAAACAATTAATGCATGTACGATAAAAAGGTTTAATTATATCTAATATGTTCATGTAATAAGAACACTATTAACCACTTACAATAATTATATTATATGAATCAAATCTCCCAAATTTTCTAACTATATATAATAAATTTCTTGTTTTTTACACTAGGGGGTGTTTGTTTCAAGTTTTTGAAGAGGATTACCGGTAATCCTTCTTTGGTAAATGTAATTACCACGTTTGGTAGAAGAAATAAATTACGATTCCCGGATATCCAAGGATTACCGGTAATTTGATTTATAAAGAAAAGTCACTATTCAGATTACCAAAAATAATATGGTAATTCGGAATATCAATCAGAATACTAAGTAAAGGGAAAGCACAACAATAAATTTTGAGACAAAAATACCCCAATACACATAAAAATCTAGACCCAATCTATTAATTACAAAAGTAAAAATAGTTTGGGGTTATTTTTGTAAAATAACCTCATATTCCAAGTCATATTTCGTTCTAAACCAGATATGGAATCAGTAATTTTTACCCAATATTCCCGGTAATATTTTGGCGAACCAAACACCTCTTTCGTAAGATTCCAAGTAAACTCAATTTCTATTGTATTCCCATTAATCATGATTCCCAGTCACCAAAAATTTTCTTTTGTACACCCTAGGAGTGGTAATCAGTAATCACTGTATGCATGTAAAGGAAATTTGAATTTTAATAAATTGAATGCAAATTTCGACTTAAAATGCAAGAATTTAACTTTGATACAATCTCAATGTAAACAAAATTTATACTATCAATTAATGACATGTTACTATATTATTGAATGAGTTCAATACTGCATGTGTTGTCAAATTCATTAAATGATGTCACAACACGTTATATGACAATATAATTATTTTCTCTTTACACTAATAGTGCTATAAATAAGGGTTCGTTTTTTCTGCAATTACTGCATACAAGTTATCTGCAGTAAACTCAATACGACGTTGTTTTGAGATGGAAGTCGTGATATTTTTGTAATTTTAATTTATTTCAGGGTTATTACAGACTTTATAATTATAATTTTTTAATCTTTCAATCCCAAAACGACATCGTTTTGAGAATAAATGCAGATAACTTATCTGCAGTAACTGCAGAAATATTTTTCTGTTAAAATAAAACTCAAAATGCAATACAAAAAAGTAAGGGTTATAATGTTATTTGCACACCAAAAAAGAGAGGGTAAAAGATGGTAAATTATTTTTATTTGCACGCCAACCTATTTATCAAATTTTACTCTCATTATTATGGAAAAAAATCTATTACAATGTGTATTTTTTATTATTAAAAAATAAGTTTGTTTCTTCTGCAGTAAATACAGATAAGTTATTTGAATTGAGCTCAAAACGACATCGTTTTCGGGCAGAAATCAAGGTGTTTTTGTAGTTATATATACTAGAAAAGTCTTTATTATCGACGGAATTTTTCAACGAAAAAAATTCCGTGAAAATTACTGACGAAATTTTCAACCGAATTCGTTTTTCGTTGAATTTTTTGACGGAAAACTGATTCCGTCAAAAACTTTCGACAGAAAATGGATTTCGTCGAAAATTTTCGACGGAAAATGAATCAGTTCCAATTTTAATTCATGTTATACATGTCCAAGTATTCTGAAGTCAGTTTTGTATTGTGTATTGATTTGTTAATTTTTATTTATTAATTTTTTAAGGTTACAATATATACTTAGTGTACACTACTCTCTAATTGTATAAGTCTTTTTTTAAAACTTAGCCTAATATCATGATATGAACTTTTGTTTATTTAATGTATGTTGTTTAATTTGATTATATTTTTTTATCAAGTGCATTATAGGAAATTGGTATTAATTTTGTAGAGGGAAATTTTTTAAAAAAAATTCGATGGAATTTGTTTTTCGTCGAAAACTTTTACATCAGTTTTTGACAGAAATTTATTGATTTTCCGTTGCAAATTTTTGACAGAATTTGTTTTCCGTCGAAAATTTTCACATCAGTTTTCGACGAAATTTCATTGATTTTCCGTCAAAAATTTTCAATGGAATTCATTTTCCGTCGAAAATTTTTGATGAAAATTTATTTCAAATTTTCGACGGAATCTTTAATTCCGTCGAAAAATGGGTTACCCACGAAGGAAAATTCAATGGTTTGAATTCCGTCAAAAATTCCGTCGAAAACTTCATTTTCGATAGAAATTTTTCGTCGAAAAAATAGACTTTTTTAGTAGTGATAATTTATTCTAAGGTTATAATAATCTTTATTTTTATAATTTTTTAATATTTCAATCCAAAACGACGTCGTTTTGTGAATTAATATAGATAACTTATTTACATTTACTGTAGAAATATTAAAGCCTTAAAAAATAATGTAAAAAAAAGTGTATGAATATCATTGTTATAAAAGTGATTTCGAAAACTATTTGCTTAAAAAACTAAGAAATATGTGTAAAAATTAGGCATGATAGTTCTCTCTCGATTTTATTATTATATAAAAACTAATTGGTGAATACTGAATAGCGTAAACTCTCAAGAATTAGTACGTGTTTGGATTAATTTATTTTCAAATTCCTGATATTTTTTATTTTATTTTATAAAAAAGCGCTTTTTAGTGACATGCTACTATAGGTGTAAATGAGCCAAACCAAGCTAAGTTTTAGTCGGAATGAGCTAAGCTTGTATAAATTATTTGAAGTTTAGTTTGATTTATTAACCTTATACAAGCCAAATTATAAATTTGATCTGTAATTAAACCTGAATTGGACCGGCCGATTTGACTCAGAAATCGATGAACCGGTCAGGTAGCCGATCCTAAGTTGTTAGATCGGATGTCTGTCTTTGTTTTTTAAAAATACAAGATTTGGCCTGATTTTTCAAGACTACCAAGGCTTCAAAAATGACATATTACCAGTGTAATAAACCTGAATTGGACCGGCCGATTTGACTCAGAAATCGGTGAACCGGTCAGGTAGCCGATCCGAGTAAGCTGTTAGATCAGATATGTATTCGTCGGATCAGTTCGAAATAAACCTGGTCATTATCCAACTCATTAAGTGAGTCACGTGCAGTCCATGTAGAATGAACCTGAATGACATATTAAGTTGTTAGATCGGATGTCTGTCGTTTTTTAAAAATACAAGATTTGGCCTGATTTTTCAGGCCTACCAAGGCTTCAAAAATGACATATTACCAGTGTAATAAACCTGAATTGGACCAGCCGGTTTGACTCAGAAATCGGTGAACCGGTCAGGTAGCCGATCCGAGTCAGCTGTTAGATCAGATATGTATTCGTTGGATCAGTTCAAAATAAACCTGGTCATTATCTAACTCATTAAGTGAGTCACGTGCAGTCCATGTAGAATGAAGTTTACAATAGCTGGTACTGGAATATGGTTATAAAGAATGAATTAATTTTTGTTCGGGCCGATGTGGAACACTAAGCTCTTTGAATAATCAATTGAGCTTTATCATCGCTGTTATCATTGCTGGGAGCTGTGACCGATAGCTGTTCTTGGTCTTGCAGGGAGTTCTCCTTTGCAGGGGACAGTGGCATTTGACCTTTGTGTTCTTTAAATTTTCCCCACACAATTAGATAAAGTCCAGCAACCACCACTATTGCTCCAGTAATACTGATGTCATAATAGTTTTTCCCTGTCCAACCTTTCTCAACTTCTTCCCATGGCTCTTTAGGAGCATTGACATCATAACCGAAATTGATTTAGCTGTTACAAGAGTCGCGTTGAGGGTTGTTCCCGTTAAAAGCATCGATTTGTTTGGATGAACTTTGCATGCTTTACCTCCATCTTTTTCCTACCTTACTCTATCTCAATTACAATTTACTCTATCTCAATTACAATTTGGTTGGGTAAGGGAAAATGGAAAGAAAGGGCAACCTATATAAAGGACTCAAAAATCTAAAATGATGTAATCCTGTGATTGACTTTGTTATGAACTAGGTTGTTGTTTATTTTGGTGGCACACTTTACTTATTTCTAATGCTGTGGTTCTTATTTTACTTGTTTATTTCTTTCATATATGACTTTTTTTATTCCTACAAAAATTATATATGCTTGTATTTGAATATACTATTAATTTTTATGTATAAAATATAAATTTTTATGTACACACTCGGGGCATACAGTTGAATCAGTGACCTAGTACTCCGGCTGATTCAATGTCCGGGTCAGTTCTGATAACATTGCATATTACAATATGTGAGATATAGGTTATAATTATTTTGTTTCTTTTGTATGTTTAACTTGGTGGAATAATTTTTTTTTTATGCACATAACAAAAAATGGCAAGTATGTAGAATGCTTAATTACAATTAATACATATATATATATATATATATATATATATATATATATATATATATATATTCACTCACTCATGAATTAAAAAATTCACTCAACAAAAATGATAATCGCGATGATGACAAAAGCCAAAAGTTAAAGATAATAAATTGTTCAACAACATCATCAAAACTTTATTAAGATATTTATATTTTGTTGACTTTTTTGCTTCATTCACACCGCCAAAAAGATTAGAATTGCAATTCGTATCTCTTAATCGATTAAGGCACCTTCATATGAGCAAATTGATGGCATGTGAGATTGACTTATAATACTACATAGGAAAATCTTGAGAGTCGATGAAGAGCGATAGATGGTTTGAAAGCGATGAGAAGTTGAGAAAGGGGTAGAAGAGTAAAAAAATTTGGCGAAGGAGAGAAGAGAAAAGAACAATGACAGCGAATAAATTTAGGGTTAAGAAAATATGTGTTTTCCAAGTGAGAAGAATGAATATTGCAAAAATTTAAAAAATCATAACATATTTTTTGATACAATCATATCATTTTTTTATTAAAAAATAACAAGATATTATTTTATTAAAAAATAATAATATATTATTGAATTTAAAATAAAACAAAATATTATTTGTTAAAAAATATGAACCACGCCAGGAGGTTTACATGACAAGCCTACTAAAGTTGGCTTGTGGCTTGATTTTTAAACTTTTTAACGAGCTCAAACCTTACTATTTTCAAAATGGGCCAAGTCAAGTCAGGGAAAAAAACAAATCAAGTTGTAGGCCCTATCAATCCGTCAGATCCATTTCCATTTACACTCTTACCTGTTACTTTAATAGCAACCCATAATTCAAGATAAAAGAAAAGTTAAAAATAGAAATCCATTTTAGTTCCCCTTGACATAGGTAAATTGGGTAAACGTAACATGATTTGTGCTCTGATTCGTTTAACCTGCTACTCGTGTAGATTAGTTACATTAGTATCAACATTTTTGTAAGTTGGTTTCATCAGCCCAATTTATTTAATCTGTGGGTTAAAAAAGATTATGACTTGCATGTTAATGGACTAGTTATTAAAATTAACAATTATGTTTTTTAAAGCCAGTCAAGTACCTGATTCTGCAGCCCAATTTCCTAATTATGACGCAGATTAAGAAAAAAGAATTGGAGTGAATCATCTCATGTAAATGTAAAAGAGTGATCATGTGGTCATGTTATTTGATCACAACCACTCATTTAAGAAGATTAAAATGAACAAAAAACCAAAGAAAAAAGTCCTAGATAATTCCCCGCCTCTCCTTTAGGCCCAGTCTGAATTTCTATAAGGCTAACAATCGGGCTGTTCTGGCTTTGACCCGTAGAGAATTGGGAACATTAAGCAACTTGTCAAATATCTTGGACTTGTTATAAATGAAAAATGTTATCAAGTCAATTGGGAATATTTTTATGATTATTTTTTTGAGATGCAAAGATGCTGAGCAAAGGATAGAGTTTAGAAGACAGTTAATTATTGATGTAATTTGAAAAATATAAAATACTAACAACTGTCGTGCCTTTTACTTTGCACGCAATGGTGTCATTTTCTAGCAGTTTTTGCAAGGTGACGGAAAAGAGATTGTTGCTCAATTAATTAATGCGTAACGAGTGGATTTTGGTGATAATGAAGACCATCAAGAATTAAGTCTTTGAAATCTTACAATGGTTTTGAGACGGCTAATTTTATTATTTATATACAGGTATTTTTTTAGTTGTAAATATTTTAAGGGGGGTTAAGCTGCTTTTTTACGTGGTAAGCTTACTTCTGACAAATTGTATTATAAGATTTGTATTGATCAGTAATAGCATGCGTTGCACGAGTAATTTAAAATTTAGATAAAATTTCTAAAATATATTAAAAAATTTAATAGAAAAATATTTAAAATTTATTATGGTAAAAAATATACAATTAAATTCAAGTAAAGTCTAAAAAATATAAATAAAAATAAAAATGTCTAAAAATTATAAAGTATACTCAATTAATATTAAAAGGTTTAAATTTAAAACTAAGAAATTTTTGTAAAAAATAACATGTATTATTGTTGACCAAAAAAATAGACGAAGAGATTAAGTAATTCTTAAAGTGAATTTAACTCGAAAATATTTTACGTGTTTGTGTCATGATTAAAAAACATTTTTTAACAAAAAAGAGTGGAATGTTTTTAGAAGTATATATATCTTCATAAAATTACATTTTGGTGATCAATTTTCTGTTGAACAGCGGGTGGAATAAATGGCTCAAAAGTCAAAACGTTCAAATATCATGAATAAGATGAAGACATTCATTAATGGGTATGATTGTGTCTTGATTTCATAACAATTATAAAACAATTTGGCATTTTAGCAAGCTTTTACCCTCCTTACTAACACCTTGTGCAATCCAATTGAATTTATTCCTAGATTGTGCTGGGAGGTTGATTCCTATTCTTGCTTTTTAACGCGTGCTTGCACCAAAAACACAAGTCAATATAAAACTTCTCAGGACTGTTTTAGTCATTAGGCAATGTTCTGAATCGACAAAAAAAAAAATATGTAAATAGAAAAAGGTCAAAAATTATTTTTGTCCGTTAAAAATCTTATACCATTTTGATATTTTACTTGTTTGGAAAAGAAAGATGCCTTGAATTGAAATATACATTTTTCTTATTTTATAATCGAAAAAGGAAATGGTTGAACGATCTACAGTTTCATTTGAAACGTAAACCCACCCTTTGTGGCTTTATAATATTATATATATAAGCACAGAGCAAGGTCATGTTTTGTATGGTTTAGTGAAGGAGAAAGATGGAGTATTACAGAATGCAGGTTGTGGCCATAGTCTCATTGATGCTTCTGTTTCCAAACACACAAGGGTGGGGAGAAGATGGGCATGCCATAATTTGTAGGATTGCTCAGGTGACTAATTTGTTTTCTATCTCTCTCTCTCTCTCTCTTTCTGAGTGTGTTTGAATGTTCCACACTCACAGCATCACATTGCTTTACTCTTTCAATGTAACAGTCTCGCCTCAGCAATACAGCTGCAGTGGCTGTGAGAAAACTGCTGCCAGAATATGCAGAAAATGACTTAGGGAGTGTGTGCTCATGGGCTGATCATGTCAGGTTTTATTTACCATGGTCAGCTGCTTTACACTTTGCTGATACACCTGACAACCTTTGCAATTACCAGTATGATAGTAAGTTTCTTTCTCATTCTGCTCCTAATACCCCTTGTGGGGTCCCTTAGGATTTTGGTATATCAGTTTTATTTTTCATCATGATCTAGAGTTAAAAGAGTGTGAGTGATATTTCTTCTCTGCTTTTGGGACTTAAAACCACAATTTTGTGTGTCAAAAAAAGTAGTTTAGTTTCTGCCATATGCATGTGATACCATAGAACACACATTATTTGCATAGTTACTGAAAATTTATCAATTTCTCAAAAGTCAAATTATTTTTTGGACTGACCAGTTGTCTGAACATTCAGGGGACTGTAAGGATCAGAATGGAGAGAAGGGAAGATGTGTTGTGGGAGCGATTAACAATTATACCAACCAGCTTCTCAACTATGGCAGAGAAACTCAATGTAAACCCTTGTTATGAGCCTACAATCTTATGTTTACACCCCCAAGGTTTTTCTTTATATCTTTTTCTCATCTGCTGACTAACCAAATTCTTGTTCTATATCAGATAACCTCACACAAGCGCTTCTATTCCTTTCTCATTTTATGGGAGATGTCCATCAGGTATTCATGATAAAGCTACAAATCTCACATACACAGAAGCTTATATATCTGAATTAGCGATTTAGTAGTTATCGTGATGACTTTTTTGCATGGTTAATCTGCAGCCTCTCCATGTAGGCTTTACATCAGACAAGGGAGGCAATACAATTAATATTCACTGGTACACAAGGAAGCAAAATCTTCATCATGTAAGTCTGATTCTCAGCTCATCAACTGCTACAATATGATCTATTTCACTATTTACTGTACTGACTAATTTTATACCACACACAGGTTTGGGATGATAACATAATTGAGACAGCAGAAGAAAGATTCTATGACTCTAACATAGATGAATTCATCAGTACTATTCAAGGGAATATTACGGTATTTTATGCAGCAGCTTTCTGTTATCCTCAATCTAAAGAACTGCTTATCAAATTTTGATGTTCGCTTCAAATTTTCTGAAACAGAAAACATGGTCCGGTCAGGTAAAAGGATGGGAAACCTGCGATTCTAGTGAGACCACATGCCCAAATATGTATGTCCCATAAGGGCTTATTTATCCTAAAGTTTATTCCTTCATTACTAGTTTAATTTAAATTATTTTGCTGATGAAAATACATTTAATTTGTTTTTTTATTTTATAATGCCTCATTCTTTTATGGGAAATACTACTCTCATGTTACATGAGAGTAATATTACCCTTCTTTTATATGGGTACCTGAAAATTTCTCTCGCAAAAACAAACAGTATTCCTCCATCTGGTGGCCCATGTGAGGAATTTTGTTAAAAATCCCAAAAATCTGTGGCTAGAAAAATCCTAGCACCTGCTTCTTTAGTTTATGTATACAACGAAACCACTTATTTGACTTGGGTAATTTTTTTAGATATGCATCCGAAGGTATACAAGCAGCCTGTCAATGGGCATACAAAGGTGTCACCGAAGGTTCAGTACTAGAAGGTAAGCTATAATAATTCTGGAAGTTAAAACTTTTTTCATTTACCTTTTCTCACTATATCATGAAACAATACTCTGCAGATGATTACTTCCTATCACGTTTGCCAATAGTCAATTTGCGATTAGCTCAAGGAGGAGTTCGATTAGCTGCAACCCTGAATCGTATTTTTGGGTGACGTGAATATGTACTAAAATATGAAATATGTTTATAACGTATTAAAAGAGAATAAACTTCCTGCATATTACTCTTGAAGATTACCTATCTCTTATTTTTCCTACTAATACGCCGCTATAAATATTATTTTATTATTATTTTTTTTTTTGGTACATAATATTATTTTATTCAGTATACAAGGTGGTTTAATCCCCCCCCCCCCCCCCCCGGGGGTTTAATCCCCCCCCCCCCCCCCCCCTCTCTCTCTCTCTCTCTCTCTTCCCACTTTTATTTTCTCTTTCCAGACAAACGCAAAAGAAAATAACGTGGTCACCTGAGATCGTAGGGGGGAAATTTTTTTACTTGGTCACCTGACTAGGAAGTCTACTTGACTACTTGTATCTACTTTGATTCCTTGTCAGCTGAACTTAAACGAAAGCACCTCTACAATTTACTCATAGATATTGTGTTGGTAAGAATTATTATGTTCCATTTGAACCTTAATGAGCCGTATAAATCTGTATAAGGGATATCACGCGCATCTATGTAATTAACTAGCGAAAGATCATCAAAATGGTCAAATAAAAAGCCAAAAAGATAGGGGAACAAAGGTTTTGAAAAAGATTGAAACTACCGAGAAACAAATATACGAATACATCACAGATCATAGCTTGAAACAACGAAATATAAGGAGAACCGAAAAAAATAAATACCAAAGATGCAGTAATAAGGTGTCAAGTTCGAGGTTTGAGCAATCTTCCAGCAACCAAAAAAGAGATTTGATCACTGAAACCTACCCCTTTTTAAAAAAGATTTACTTTTTCATTTTCCTTGTCCTCTGTTAACTAAGATTTTTACATAAAATGATTTACAAAATTCGAAGCCATGGGCTCTCATTTAGATATACAATGCATCGGTAAATCTGTCAAGAACTACATCCACACATACGTCCAAGCCAAGCACACTGTTACGTGACAGATTTGAAACTCCTAGAACTAAACATTCAGGATGACCTTTGCTTTGCTTCATCTATGAGGAACATTAACTGCAAATATTCAGGCTGAAGATTATTAAACGAAAAATGGGAGGGAGGAAAGGAAAATCATTCAAAGGATGGAAAATATAAATGCTGAAAATTTCATACCTTTGTTCCAATGTAAAATGTCACGAGCATGCCCCCAAGGACAGGCAGCCCTGTGAGATGGAATTTTTGAATTAAGTTTACACTGTATTTAACTGCAATTAAGTTAAAAGGCTAAGGATGTTAACAAACCTTCCTTGTGAAGGAAAGAAGAAAGCAACCAGTTAACGCCAGTAGGTCCAATAACAAAACCAATCAGATTTGCCACCTGTCAAGAAAAGTCATGGTATTCAAATTAGATATTAACCATGTTTTTGCTTTCTGAACAATATGCAACAGTATCTACCAAAACATAAATAATAATCACTCAGCAAAGAAAAATAATGGTTACGCATGTCAACGTGGAAACCAAACAACCATTTACCACACTTTGAATAACCACTTCCTTTTTGGTATGATTTCAGGCAAAAATCTAGATATTCTGAAAGTTTTAGGAAAGCAATAACCATAATATTCATGTTGCAAACTTTTAGATTATCCAAAAGTTCAAGACAACAAAATTCTATGCATTACTTCTACATAATTTTTCATCAACTATCCAAATGCTGTCCTTAATATGGCTGTGTCTAGAGTGGAACAACCAGGACCTACAGCATTTTGGGCCACAAATTTTAGCCTCACTTTGATACAGATATTTCAAGTGCAGCAGTTGCAATCAGATACAGATTTTGTCTGACTCAGGTTATGAAAAAGTAAATTTGAGCACAATAGGTTCCACTTAAATATGTGTGTAAAATTGAACGTGAAATTTGTTGCATAAAAGGCTTCGCACTGGTTCAACAGGATTTTTACTTGTTGCATCATAGAACTGACCCCTTGAAACATCATTCTTTTGCTTTGTCAGGAAGCCAGATGCCATATAGTTGATGAGGATGTTTATAAAAATAGAATACCTAAGAATTTTACAGTATTCATATTTGCAATTGTTTCCAAGGGCATTTAAGGACGAACCATGAGGCAAGTAATTGTGACAGCACCAGCAACAGCACTGAGTTCACGAAATATGCATTCCCCAAAAGAACTTTCAGCCTGATAATCAAATTTACCTCCATGTTAGACAGCAAGAATTACAATTTTGGATAATGAAAAACTTAGAAGAGGAAAAGTGCGCACAAACATTACCTGAAATGTTTTTGCTGCTGATTTTAAAACCATCTCAGGGATGAAGAATAAACATGTCAACCATGCCCATGAAAGAAGCTTCCTAAGGTCCATGAGAATAATCAAGCATAAAATATCTGGTCAAAGAATGCGCAGCTTTTACAAAAAGAATGGATAAAGGGAGCATACCACTCTAAATCATGCCAGATAGCAACAAATGTGAATACAACCCATACATTTAGAAGCTTTTTCCGAGATCCCCCAAGAGGAATATACATATACCTGAATTTTCACCCAGTCAAAATTTTAAGTTACTATATAGAACAAAGTGCAAATCCAAGGTAAAAGAATCGATTGCACCTCACAAGCCACTTGTTAAATGAAGCATGCCAATTTTTCCAAAAGCCTTCCATGTTGTGGCAATTATTAATACATTTTGGCATATTCTCTGGAGTCTCAATTCCGTTTATCTACAACACGATTCCAAAGTAATAACTTTCATCAAATATGTACTTGAACATTTATGCTAGATGCTTAAAGAGCAAGTAACATACCAGTGACCAGAAACGAAAAAAGCGCCAGATCAGTAAAAATTTTAGCCACATGAAGTTTAAGACCTGAAACAAATAAATAATAAAGAATGATAAAGCAATATGCTGAACTAATCTGGAAATTTTAGTTTTCATGATACAGCAGCAATCACCACTCAGTGATAACACTATGTGGGGTTGCAAATATAGAACAGTTGATATCATTAGGCTCAGAAAAATCACTTAATTGATGAACATGTATTCTCTTACCCCATATCCAATGATGAACACGTCCAGAGGAGATAAGTGCTTCCACAAACCACTAAATGATGAAGAAATTATTTCAGCCCCCAAAGGATAAAATTGGATTAAGAAACTAAAAATAACACAAGGTCCTTTCCTGAGTACTGAAGTACTCACCTATTAGCAAAGGCATTGTAATAGAATAGATGTGTCATTAATTCCACAAGGAGAAGACTCAATACCCAACGGAAACCATAGAGTGTCACATTTCTAAGAGAATTAGTATTTTGGGGAACATCTAGCTGCAAGGACATTAGAACCAGAACCATGAACAAAATAGAACTCAAACAACTATTCAAAAACACTTGACAACAATTAGCGACACAAAAAACAATCAGGAAGAAAAAGGAGTATATGATTATCGTTCAACAGTAACAGTCTGGTTGTAGTATACAAAATTCATCAAAGTGTTTGGGTTGCAATTATATTTAGCATTTGTTAATTAAAGTATCAAATTTCCAGACAACAATGACAAATTCAGTTTCTTTTCCAATTCGAACAAATAATATCTTTCATATCTATTTTGGAGAGGTCAAGCCTTGAAGTAGTGGTAAGGTTGCTCCTTTGTGATTGAAAAGGCATGGGTTCAAGAGGAGCCGGACTCTTTAAAAATATGCAAGGATAAGGTTGCATATAATCTATTCTCATCCCTACCTTCGCAAAGTCAGGGAGTGCACTAGGGTTTGCCGTTTATATACTTTTATTTTGGAAAAATAACAAGATGGGGGTCCAATTCGTTAGAGTTTCATAAAGACCAGAACTGTACAAAAGTAACGAAAGCATACTTATTAATCTCGGATAACAGTGCATAGCGGCTGACCCTCCAAACTGCTATAACACTATAGAGGGTAGCGCTACAACGCTACTGTGCAAAGTGTACCTAAGTGATACACTAAATTGTACTCCACAAAAATAAAACGTAAAAAATGAAAGTGTGACATAAAAAACAAATTTGAAGGATCTCTAACTCAAACATAAATGATTTCAAACATTAAAATCAAATCATAAGCAAATTGAAGGAATTAAACTGAGGCCAATATTCAGAACAAGCACGTTAAACTGGAACCCACCACAGATCAGACCGGGTTTAATGAACAAAATTGGCACAACCGAAGTTCGAAGAAGAAGCTTAGTTAGATCAAAGATCTGAACACAGATCGGACAAAAAGAGGAAGAAAAGAATGGGAACGACGGTGGCGAGTCTGGCGCCGGGTTTGTCTCGGAAGCTGAAGAAGGTTCTAGAATCGAGGATTTACACTCCTGATTTCTTGTCTTCGCTCAACACGCTCTCTTCCTTCTACGACGAGAACACTTTTGCAGAAACTACTGTAGCGGCGCAATAGGGCCGTGATTCAGCCGCAATAAAGGCTGCTACATCCGCTATACTTCGCCTGACCATCGCGGCACGGTCTGTGGCGTCCGGCTGTTGCAACGCAACGCAACTCCGCTATAGCATGCTAAAGCGGCGCTAATCACAAGTATGAATGAAAGTCAAGCATGAAGCTTATACCATAAAAATAACTTACAGTCACAGACCTGTGAGGCAAAAGCATTGAAGCTCAGTATTGGACCAGCAATATAAAGTGGCGCATACACCAAATAACAAAGGTATATGGTATATCCGAACTTGTCATTCGGTAGACTTCTCTCCTGGTAATGTAATTAAAATTAGGAACTGGAAAATATGCATCCACATGCTCAACAGAAAATATAATCATTTAAAAGTAAACATCAAAAAAAGAAAGAGCATAAAAACATAACTCAGCAACTATAAATTTCACCTCATGCTTTATCTTAACTAGCAGCTATTCTAACCTGTAAAACTTGATAGCAAGATTTTCCTGATTTACAAATATGACACCGTTGATAATGCTTCTGCAATTATCAAAGAATAAAATATTGGCAACAAATATTTATTAATCACATCAATACATCAAAGCAAAAAGCTACGGAATTAGTCAACAGCTACATGATCTGCAAGCTAGTATGTTTCAAGAAATGCAATGCCTATTAAATATCAAAGTTGACCATTTAAGAAATAAGAGGACAGCCTCACAATAGGTTTTACCAAAAGAAAATGAATGCATCAAGGTTGTTCCTAGACCATAATCAAATCTGTAGAAATATGCAAACACTACAACCTAATTAAACTAGTCAGGTCTTATTGAAATGTTAACTGAACTTTAAGACAAAATTATTTAAATAGTAATCAAACACAATCTACGTCCTACCTGATGCTAAAAAAAATTATGCCTTTGAGGTAATATCTGAAGTTACACTTCAATAATAAAGTTTCAATTTTCAAAAGTATTTGTATTTGCCACCAGCATTATAATAAATCCTAAATAGTCATCACCAAAACCATATCAAATTAAGAGAGACTGTGGAGTAGAAACTTATGTTCAAAACAAACAAGTACCATATTTAAAAAGAAAGCCAAACCTCGTGATCAAAATGAGAATCTTGATTTGTCCAATGATAATCAAATCCAAAGCTTATCATGCGCAAAACAACTGCCACAAACAACTATGCTTAAATATAAAGAAGCATATATTAAGTTCTTGTGGTTGTCACGTCACACAATGGTATGCAAAGTAGGAATACAAAGACATGCATATATTATTCGTAAAATGCACTATAGAAATATAATTTTTGAAAGTTCAGATCACCAAATTTTAATATTCTGATCTACTAATGTTCAAATAATAAAATCACGAAACACGAGACCAGTTTCACAGTGAGGAATGATTGAATTAGCATAAATTCATATGAATGCTGCTGTTGGATGAAAATAGTTTGACTAACAAGATGGGAAAAAAGAAGAGGGAAAAGACAAAGATATATAAGAACCACATACACGTGGACAATTCTGACTTTAGATATTACAGGAGCTCAATTAAATAACGAAAACAAATACCAAAATTGAAACATATGTGCCACCTAAAGCTGCCCCGGTAATTGTCCAAAAACGCCCATCGGTGCCTGCAATGTAAATACATAATCTTAAGTGGGAATAGAATCTCTCCTACCATACAATGTATCAATACAACCAATTTGATGCATCTTACCCAAATATAGAGAATGAATATCCTTCATAAATCCGGTTACAGAGAAGAAATAATATGTTGTAACCCCATACTACAAGTGGAAAGTACTTTTTCCGTGCAAATATCTGCAGAAACATAATTTTAGTCTTACATGACAACCATGGGAAGAGTGATAAATATGGTAATTAAATATAGACATTTCTTCCTCCACATAACTCTGGAGACTGCATTCTTTATAGCTATCCTTCTTTACAAACATCCTATATAATAAAGTTTACTACACAATTCTTCTCTGGTAAAATTGTGTTGATTTAAATGATCCATGGTATCACAATTCTCATTAAAGCACTCTCTAAGGATGATTTTAAGAATTTCAGAGTCCTAGAAACACAAAACAAAATATTATATTACACAAATATTCAGCATAAAATCAAGCAACAAAATAAAATCTTAATACTTTTAAGTGGAAGGATATCATTTTTGCAAATAATTCACGAAATTGGATATAGATGAATTTTCATTAGATTTCTACATATGACATGCAGCTTAAAATAAAGCACCCTGGTGGGGTATAAGTTTTAATGAAAAAAAACTAGAGTTGTCATGGCATGATAATTTTAAGTTAATAATTAAAACCAACAATATTACACGTTCCGACTAGAAATATTTTAACTAATACTTATTCATTGTTCCATTACACGCACCTTTACAAGAAGAAAATTAATAGTAGCTATTGCTAAGATAAATATGATGCTGCAAAGTGAAACAAACACGAAGTTAGACTGAAGAGTGTAAAGAATGCCAATAGTGAAAGAAAGAACAAAATCAAAATAAACCTTAAGTCCGTACCATGCTCCATGTAGATATGATAGGTAGGCCAAAGAAAATAAAAGCCAGACAATGGACATTCCCCCCGCTTTTAAATTAAAAAAAGCCCTCATCAAGTTGGCCAGCAGAGTGAAAATCCCAAAGACAAGAGTAAGAACAGGTATATTTCCTCGAAAATTCCTCCATTGAGCATCTGAGACATCCTTTTTACAAAGCAAGACATACGATTGATTAGCAAAATAAAATGCAAGTGCAACCTAGACAACTACTGAAATACTTGCAGAAAAAGTGGTTATAATGGTAAAGAGCACAATCATACATTGAGGTGATGAGGTATGAGCCATCCCAGGCGTAAACCGAATAGTTTTTTGTAATGATCTATGAAAATCAAAACCAAAGCAATTAAGCAGGTAATATGAGAATAGCCAACAGAAAACACAATTACAGAAACAAAAATTATTTGAATAAGAAAAAAAAAAAGGAAGAAGATCTGAAACAAGAGATACACCATGAGAGAGTTGAAGGGAACGCCTGATGATGATAATATAGAAAACAAAAGCACAGGTCACCAGAAAATACAACTCTTTTTGCTTCCAGTGGCTAATCCTGCTGCCATTGACGTTGTCCTTGTTCATAACAGATGTACCCATTTGTGATTTATCTTTAGTTAAGAAACCAATGTCCTCTAATTAGCAACTTAACACCAGCATTTTCGTGTTTCCCTGTCTTGACAATAAGAGATTTTTGAAAATTACTTCCAGTTTCGTTTTGGATTGAAGTGGTCTAATGAATATGTTCTGATTCTATGAAACTCCGTGAAAAATCAAAATTAAAATCGAAATCAAAATCAAAATTAACTTAGCTAATAATAATAATAATAATAATAATAATAACTTAAATAATTTCTCTACATTTAAAGAATTGAAGGTGAAAATTCGAAGAAATGGGAGAGAAGAGGCAAATTGTGTACCCCAAGCATTTGAGCGAAGTTGATTCCCTCTCTACAAAGCTTCAATCAAATCAAGTGCATCCAATTGCTTCTTCATTCACTCCTATTTTTGACTTCTACGAAGCTGGGCCTTGGGCCCGAGCCCGTTTGGGGATTCAGTTTGGGCTGGATTTGGATTACGTGAGGTAAGTAGTAATCATTAGCATTTACCAGCACCACATGGATGAGCGATTACGAGTTTCCAACTCTCAAGTTAATTGTGTATATTTTATTCTTTCCTAATATAGTATGCCATTTATACTGAAAATTTATTTAGTAGAGGTCCATAATTAGTTATCTAGGTTATTTTTATACAACATTTCTAACTCAATTTATTTTCTAATGATTTTACTACTTATATTAAGTAATTTTTTTTGTATCGAAGGTTTTGATATGAATATTTATTCATGTTGTATTGAGTTGAGCAAATTCTTGTTCTTGTTGAATTTCAACCTGACATGAACAAGATCCACCAATGTGAACCGCTACCCTTACCTTTAGGAGGCGTTTGGCAGAGGAGAAATTTTTTTTGTCCGAGAATCTCGATTTTCAAAAATATGATTTTTACATTCAGTTTACGATAATATCCGAAAATTTAAAATTTAGAAAAAAATCAGTTTCCTGAGAATCCTGCCAAAAGCCACGTGCATAAATTCAAAAATAAAAAATATTAAGTAAAATTTAAAAATATTTAATACCTTGAAAAAATATTTGACTTTTTTTAAATAATTACAAAAAAATTAAAAGTATTATTGTTATTTCTTAATGGGTTATATTTATCTCATTTCACATAAGAGAAGCTAAGTTCTTAAACATATAAAACAAAGGTGAGTCTCATCTCTATTTTTTTTCTATCTTCTTGTCTATAGATCCCGCTTGTGATATTGTTTATGTCATATGAGATAATTCTTCTCATGTAGCAAGAGAAAATAATTCCTCTTTCTTAACATGTGCCCGGACACATTAACAAAATCTTAATTAAATTGGACTTTAGCTTTTGACAATTTACTATCCAAAATTGAAAGTTTGTAAGTTTAAATACAAAAACAGTAATGATATTCTTACATATATTTACATAACTTTTGTTGGGAATTTAAATTTGAGTTATAAAATTTTATATTAATTAAAAATAAAGTAAGCAAGTATAATACAAGTTCAAGAACTAAAAAATTTAATGTTTTAAGATTTTGAATTAAGACATCATTCCCCTACCCAACAATGTTAACATCATTTTTTTAGATAATAAATAAAAAAATTACATATTAACGTTTTTTTTTATTTTTCAAACAAATAAAATATTAAAATAATACAAGAATTTTGTTGCATAAATATCATTTTGGCACAATATTCATATTTTCAGCGCAATAATAATTTTTTTCCTAGATAGTAGCCTATCCTCGGTTCGTACGCTGTGCCCACGCAAATAAACAATGCTCTCCCCACAAGGCATTTTATGTCATATCCTGATCATACTATCCACAATAAATGTAAAATGAAACATATGACTAAAAATTTGTTAACGTGTTGGATGCATCACGTGTATCATAAGCACTCTCAGCTTTTGCAACAAAAAGACAAGTGACAAAAGCATCTATCTCCACCTTGATGAACTTTCAAAACCTTTATAGCAACCTCCTCCATTCTTTATGTGAAGTGACATTTGCTTCCCCAGCACAATATCACTCTCCTTCAATGATTAACTGTTCATATTTTATCATAAGATTTATCGAATCACTTACATTCATTGACAAATTGATACAATATAAAAAAATCTAAAAAATCGAAATATAGGCATAGATGAGTTAGTTTTGGTAACAAAAACACCTTTGGTTGTTGAAAATAAAATTTGGACTAAACTTTGGATTTGATTTATACCCCTTAAAGTTTGTATCATTGAATTTTTTAAAAAAAAACTTAAATATTATTATATCCGTTCTTATAAGAGATTAAAATGATAATATAAAAATAAAAATTAGTAATTATTTTATATTTTTAAATAATTAATTTAATAATTTTTTTCTAAAAAAAAACTAATATGGTCACTCGTTAATATCTTAAACATCAAAATAAGATTTTATTTTAAAATTTTATTTTGATGAATATTCAAATCAATGTTACTGGATAGTGATGATGTGAGAGAAATATAAAAAAATTATTAATATAGTCTTACTTAAAAATTTAAGTTTTTGGGTTGAAATGATTATTTACATAATATTAGAGCCTTCGTGATCACTTGGTCACGAGTTTAATCTTCGTCGCTTCCCATTTAATTACTAAATAATTAAGTATTATAGAGTTTCTTAGCACAAGTAACTGGATTTGTACCTTGTCTATTCTTCAAGTCCAATAAACTCTTGTGTAAAAGAGTGTATTAGAGAAGTATAAAAAATTATTAATATAATCTCAACCAAAAATTCAAAATTTTTGGTTGAAATAATTATTTTACAGATGACAAGGGAATCCATCGAGGAGAAATCAAATATATTTACCCGTTAATGTATAGAAGTGGGCAAGTTAGTATAAAACATGATTATTTAATTGTAATCAATTATGATTAATATTTACAAAGTATAATTATAAGCTAAATTAATAACATTCATATAACATTTGAGGAAAAAAAAAAACATTGTTATAAACATGCTTCCAAATGAAATTGTCCCATATGATCTGTTTATCTGTTGTACGAGGACTACAACGGGCTCTGTCTGTCGAGCAAGACCTTTTTGGCTTTGATGGGAAACAGAGAGAAAAAAGAAGCGGGTGGCTCAATCAAAAGAAAAGTGTCCCTACTTAGCAACATTTAATTGCTGACATGCTTGTTCACCGCCGGTGCATATGCTCTTACATTGTATTTCTACACTGTTGTGTAGTTTTCACTTCGTTTTGTCCAGTCAAAGACGTTTCTTATATGGATATACTTAGAAACAGTACACCGGGTCCATGATTCATTTCAAGTATTAACTCTTCTTCTGACCAGATATTTGCTCTTGTTATTATTCGGTCCACAAAAGCTAATTACTTAACAAGCAACTACTTATACATGCTAAATGAAAAGACATATAATTTTTATTTTATTTTGGGTACAGAAAAGACATATAATTTATCTATATATAATAAGTTTAATGCTTCTCTTGGATATAATCATATAGAGTTATTTTCTATAAATTTTAAAATGATGATCGTTTTGAGCTTTGGAAAAAAGAAATACAGGAGTTTCTAAAAAAATTCATAATATAAGGAAAAATAAATCATTATGATTGGTATAGTGGAGTTAACTGACAATTGTAAGTTTACCAAACAAAAAAACACTAACAATTCTAATCGTTAGATAAAAACGTGATGACGATCACTTATACTTGAACTAATATGTAAAAGACAACCTTTGAGAGAGAACTCTCGGAGAAACTGTAAGACACAATAATTGTATAGACTCTAGAGCCATCAAATTATATTTGGGGAAAAAAATAATAGGCATATCATTGGAGATGTGCTCCAGGAGATTATTTATTCTGGTCCGGGACCATTATTTTTTAGGTAGTCTCTTAATGTAAATGCAAGAGTAAAAATAGAAAAGAGAAAAACTAGCAGGGATAAAAAAGAAAAGAAAAAATTGATATTATGAGAAAGAGCATGAGATTATTGGGTGGTCCTGAAGCATAAAAAATATTTATGTGCTTCAGGGGGTGTTTGATTTGGGTTTTCTTTTCAAAACCCCAGGCATTACATATTTGTATTTTATGAATTCAATGTTTGGTTCAACGTTTTTTTAAAATTTCTCAGTCATCTCATTTGGCTATGCTTCTACAATTCTGTGCAAAATGGAACAATAAACCCAGACCAACAATGCCACTTTGAAAGTGGTATTGTATGATAACTAGGCAAATGGGATATATAGAATGAAGGATTTGACATAACTACCCTTCTATTATGGGTTACTTTTGTAATGATATTAAAAATATTTGTATTGATATTAAAAAATTAATAAGGGGTTACTTTTGTAATTTTATATCATTTACCCATCAATATTCTATCATCAACCAAACATAGACTTTATAAATCTTACCTAATTTGTCTGGTAAAATTTTTTCTAACCAAACTACTTTTTTTACATTAAATTTCCCGTTCTACATAACTTTTTTTTTTTTTTTTTTCTAGAATCATTAGCTGTATAGGGACGTGAGGTGACGAGCCAATACAAGAGAATTTTTTTTAATATTACGGGAATACCTCGGTACTCTTTTTTATTAAAAAAAGGAAAAAAATTATTTTAATCCATATTTTTTTTATAATTCTCTCTAAGAATCTGTTTGTTTGGCCTTTTTAAAAAAATAATTTTTATGCCTTACTTATTTTAAAAATGTTTTTTACAAATATATTTAGATTTTTTTAAAAAAATATTTAATTTTTAAAAAAATATTTGCCTTTTGACTTCTGTTTTTTATATAAGCTAAAATTTTTAGCTTTAAAAAGAGTAGATTTTTGGCTTTTTATGATTTCTATTTTTTTTTAAGTAGACATCCAAATAAACTCACTGGAAGAAGTGCTTTTTTTTTCCTTAAAAAAATAGCTTTTGGGAAAGAAGAAAAAAGTTAATCCAAATGGGGCTTAGGGCATGTTTGGTACATAGTATATGATAAGGCATGATAGTATAAGACCTGATTAAATTTTAATACTATGCAGCGTTTGACATGATATTGTATAAGATAAGATATTGTATAAGATAATATCATCCAATGTTTGGCAATATACTGTATAATATTAGATAGGTAAAAAATAAATATTTTTTTTTTCAAAAATACCTTTTAATAATGAATTTACAAAGTGCTTCTAAATATATCATATGATATTACTTTTTATAGAAATATGTTGATCAGTTTGTCTAAAAAATATATTAATTTTTACAAAAATAAAAATCTCCAATAATTTAAAAAATTAGAAAAATTATTTTTATTTTAATATATTAATATTAAGTTAAACATTATTTTGATATATAAAGGGATCCTACTGTATAAGTTTATACTATATGATGGTCACACCTAGGGGTGTAAATGAGTTAGGCCGGCCTACATGGGCCTACGACCTAGCCTATATTAGGCCAAACTTGACTTATTACAAATAGTAAAATAGAACAGGTCTAAACTTTTTAAAAAATCTATTTAGAAAACAGGCCATAGGGTTTTTTGTATATGTTGGGCGTATAAGCCTACATGACGGCCTATATCATATTATTTATTTTAAATAAAATAAATAAAATTATTATTTTAATAATTTTGAATAATAAAATAATATTATTTTATTTATTCTTTTAATTTTTGAATGTTTAATGGGCTTAAACAGGCTAACAGGTTTAGGCCGAGGCTTTTATTTTTTAAATATAGGTCAAGACACATTTGTAATTTGGAGCCTACACATTTGCTTAAAATTTATTTCATGATTATTAAGCAAATAATATCTTTTGTATATATTGACTTTGTAAATTATTATTTTTTAAATACAAAAGCATTAGTAAACTATAATATCATTTTTTTTTTGGGCAGATATGAAACTCTACAAAGATAAAATTATTGATGAGATGTGACTAGATTTTTTTTTTAGTTTAGTTGATACCCAATGAGTCTTGGGTTTAAAAATTTTTGAGCTATGATTGGGGAAAGATCCAAGTAGGTAGAGATGAATTAATATATTGGATCAGTTTTCATCAATCCATCCAAAAATTGATCCAATCCTATTAAAATTTGCGGTTTTTTTATTTATTTTTCGATTGTTCGGTTTTCGGTTTTTCGGTTCGGTCTTGAATCGGTTGATGAACACCCCTACTATCAGGCCTTATACATCACACCAAACAGGTCCTTGAGTCTCAAAAATCTTTCCCTTTTTATTAATATTCTTCTCATGTTACATGAGATAACATTGTCTTATGTAGAGACATAATTAGATGAATCCCACAACTAAAAAAAGAAAAAATGAAATGCTGGTTTGGATTTTGATAGATGTATAACATGAGATAAATTATTTCATATAACATAGAACACGCCGGTTGTATCGAAAGTTTTCTCGTGGTAGTCTATGGAGATTTTTATTTTATTAGAATACGGAGATTTTGTTTAGGCATTAACATAGAGTCTGTATACTACCAGAGAAAGAATCTTAAGTATGTTTCTCTTGGGTTCTACAAGGCCAGAATCGATTCTAATAGCAAAAAAAGTGCACCCGAACCCCGTTTTATAATCAAATTCTTTCACATCAAAATTTTTCACAATCAATATTTACATAACCAATTCTCCAAATTAGCAGGGTAGAGGAAAATTCTCGTCTGTTACCTTCCTTGATTAACAACATAACCTCATAATGTTCCCACTTTCTTTAACGGTTTAGATTCATTTAGTGGGAGATAATGGTGCAATGGACGAGCTAATTGCAAATATTTGGTCAGGGTGTTTTGCATAGCTAAGGAATAATATAGGTAACTCCCAAGGTATAACTTAATTGGTAAACGAACTGCAACTCAAGGATTGGGTTCTGGTGAATGCTGAAATCATGGGTTCAATTTCTATGAGAAGCACTTTGGGGCCAGTGATTTTTTTCGTTCCAAGTCACGAAGGGATTAGTCTCGTCCTACTAAATAAGGACAATCTGAATTTATTTAAAAAGAAAAAGAAATAATATAGGTGGGACTACTTTGAAATGAAAAGGGTATAATATAATGTCACTTTGGTTATCCTAGGAGCTAACATATAGCTTGTGGTGCCCTAGTCTACCAAACCCATTTGACAAAATTCTGTGGGGAGTTATATAAATAAAGGCATGGGACATGTAATAGACACACTCACTAGAACTCATTTCTAAATTGCTACTCGTGATAGCTTAAGCCCACCTTCACTTTCTATGTTCTTGCACCCACCACGCAATAGCACCTAGCTTATATTTCATTCTTTTTCTGTCCTGAAGAACCCCATAAGAACACTAACTATGTCCACAAATACAAAGAGAGATTTGGGTTCTAATGAAGAAGAAAGTGAGCTGAGAAGAGGTCCTTGGACTCTAGAAGAAGACAGCCTACTCATACACTATATTGCTCGTCATGGAGAAGGTCGTTGGAATATGTTAGCTAAAAGTGCAGGTATAGATTCTTTGTACTCTTAAGGTTAGAGGAATATGTTCATTTTCACTGTTTTCCATTTTATTTTAATAATAGTTCCAAATTTTCAGGATTGAAGAGGACTGGAAAAAGCTGTAGACTCAGATGGCTGAATTATTTGAAACCAGACATTAAGAGAGGAAACCTTACTCCACAAGAACAGCTGTTGATCCTTGAACTCCATTCCAAGTGGGGTAACAGGTAATGATCTATCCTGAAAATGAGTATATGTACTCAGAATTAGCCTTGTTGAACCACAATGAGTTTAACATACTTTTGTTGTTCATTTGGGGATAGGTGGTCAAAAATTGCTCAGCATCTTCCTGGAAGAACAGACAATGAAATTAAAAACTACTGGAGAACAAGGGTACAGAAACAGGCACGCCAACTTAACATTGAGTCTGGTAGCAAGAGATTCATTGATGCTGTCAAGTGTTTTTGGATGCCAAGATTGCTTCAAAAGATGGAACAGGACACTTATCCCAGCTCTTGCTCTTCCATGACAAACATAAATTTTGGGAATTCTGCAGAAGCTTCAAGCAGTTCAACAAAAACCAGCTCCAATATTCCTTCTCTGTCTCCATCATCTCCTCCACAGAGGGAATTTATAGATGCTGCAAATCATTTCAGCACTATGTCAAGTCCTAGCAATCCTTTCTCGGACTCCTTCCAATTTTCACAGTTACTTGAAATTTCAGAACCACCTAAAAGTACTCCCAATGTGTTTGAGAACAATGTTTACAGCTACCCAATCCAGGATAGCTACTATGCTGATACCAATAACTATGGCATGGAAGGTCTAAATCTGGATCCAATGTCAATAATGGAAACTTATGACATTCCACAGTTCGATTTTCAGACTGCGGGGAGTGGCTGGATGTTGGACAACATGGGTGATACTTTATGGAACATGGATGCTATGTGATAGTATAGACAAAAGAAGGGCATGCATCTCAATTTCTTTTTATTATGGGATGGTCTACCAGAGAAAAAAAATATTAAAGATTCTTATGCTATATTGATTCTTAGTGACTAAACAGTTTCATTGATAGAGATTAGTACAAGTACCAAGTGTAAGGTCATATGTTATGAGTCGTCTTAAAATAGCGTATTTAAATATAAGTGCAGAAGAGGATATTAAATGGTCCCCAGGTTCAGATTTATTATAGATGGAAAAGCTGTAATTTGACTAAGACAATGTATCTTGGTTGTTATGAGTGCAATTTCGATTTGATGCTTTTTTTTTTCTTCTGGATATCTATTTCATGTTGTTTGAGTTCCCAATTGAAAACTATTATCAAAGAAATGATGTTAGAAGTGACAATAAATATTAGTAGAGTCACATCTTGTGATGAGGTGACACTTGCAAAATATACCAAGACAGTGAAGAATGCTACTCGTCTTCATATTTCCATGTACAGCCTCTTGCAATAAGCAGTGGTTAACTCATAAAACTGATGAATACCCACCCTATCTGTCCAAGCTGACGGCTCATTTGTCTTCTTGTTGAAATCATTGGGAGAGGATATTTTTTCAAGATTGAATGAGAAATCTATTTAATCTTGGGACTATTTTTCAGTGATGGCATATTTCTCACAGCTTGTCAATGAAAAAATTGTCTAAGGAATCTTCTTGATTATATGTTATTCGCGCATTCACATGAGTGATTGCTATAGATTCAGAAAATTCCTTCAATGAAAGAACCAGTTTTTCTTGGTGAACACATGAAGCACAGTTCATCACCAATTAGCTAGAACAGAATACTCTGATGAAGGTTTCACGAACTACTTTAAAGACGAATAAAAAATTGTCCCAAGCATGTGGGCAAAGGTGATTCTGCTTTGGGAGCTAATATTAGAATCAAATTTCAACCAAATTTTTAAGAATTTGAGGCAGAAATACAGGAAGATATAAATCGTTAGTTTCAGCTAGATGAATAAATGAAAAAAATTGGTTGGAATGATGGCAAAGTGGGGTGGGGGAATTTTTTTTATCATGTTTGGTACAAAGAAACAGAAAAAAAAAATTATAGCAAAATAATTTTCCCATCCTGTTTTGAACTACAGACGTTTGATTGAGAATACATATTTTTTTACTAAGAAAATACAATTACTAAAAATTTGGTGAAAAAATGAGTTTGATAGAAAAATACAAAAAAAATTGTTTGGTTGACCGAAATTTTACTGAAAAAATTGGATTAAATTTACTGAGTCTATGTTTGGTGAAACTAAAAAATTGATGAAAAAATAACTTTAAATTATGAAATAACCCTTATATTTGAATCACAAACTCTATTGCCTAATAAAATAGAGGGTATTTTTGTCAGTGTTGTGGTCCTCTTTTTTCCATTAGCCTAGACAACTTCAAATACCACCTTGCAAGAGGTATTATAAAATAGTATTCTTGGACCAATTTCTCACACAAATGTAAATGGCTGGACAAAAATGTTTCCTAACAAAAATTTTCAAATACTTCTATCAAACAAGTACATCCAAAAAGTCCAACATGAGATGCATGACCAAGGTAGTCAAAATTGAAATTTTACCTAAAATCAGAAAGGGAATAAAAAATCGTAAATCGTAAAATCGTAATACAAATCGTAGATTTTACCTGCACTCTAAAATTAAATTTTTATATACATATGCTTATGTATTAAAAAAAATTAAGAAAAATAAACTACATGCCATCATCCTTATACATTTGCATACAATTGTCACACTCTAAGGGTCTAAGCTAATAATTCATTCAAGTTATTATCATCGAAGACATTCTGTTCCACATGATCTTTAACTACATCATTCAAAATTGTCTTCGTCTAAACTTTCATCATGAGATAAAGTTCTTTCATTTTCCACAATCCATTCTTCTTCGGATGAAACATCAACAATGTTATATTCAACAGTTTTTCTAACTTGCTTAACATCATTCCAATAGTTAAAATCGAGATTTAAATATTAAAATCGGGACTTAAGTACATGTCTAAATCGGAATTTTATATTGGAAACGATTTTAAGTGAAATTTAAATCGTTTTAACAAAAATAAATCATTAAAATCAAAATTTTAAGATTTAAATTCAGATTTTAACTACCATGTGCATCACTCCGAACCAAATGGCTTGTACATACTCCTAAAAAAGAATTTCACTCAGCCCATGGTATTTTTTTTTCCCCATGAACTAATAATCTCATTTTAAGGTTTTGAGACAAGAATGCCCTCTTGGGCTGGTGACAAATTATCACCGGCAACCCCCGCCACCGTACAACACATTCTCAAGACAAGGTTCTCCATTCTCAGCGGCAAGCGGTTTCGAGAATCGTTACCCATTGTCTGGAAAATCAAGAGAAAGGCTTAACCCAACAGAAGGCTTTTGATCCAGTGAGAGAGAAGAAGCGTGAGCTGAAGGAGAAGGCTTCGCTTGAATCTGCGGACATGCTACCGCGTTTGATCCAGTTCTTAAAGCATGAGTGGCTTATTATTAGTTATTAATGATGGGTAGAAGAAAAAGGGTACAAAAATAAAGAAATATAAAATACTGAAACATTTATTTATGTATGAATTAACCCAACTTTGGTAATTTCGATTGATGGGTAATTTAGTAATTTCAATTTAGATTTTCGTTAATATTTTACAATCAATCAAATAGCATCAGTAAAATTAATTTAATTTTTTAGCAAAATTTTAGTCTACCAAACACATTTTCGTTATCTCGGAAAAAATAATTTCTCATCATATTTTCAAAAATCTTTTTTTCTCGATCAAAAAAATATCTCCTCTACCAACACCCATGAAGCTTTCACGAACTACTTTAAAGACGAATAAAAAATTGTCCCAAGCTTGTTATAAAAAAAAAAAAAATTGTCCCAAGCATGTGGGCAACGGTGATTCTGCTTTGGGAGCTAATATTAGAATCAAATTTCAACCAAAATTTTAAGAATTTGAGGGAGAAATACAGAGAGATATAAATCGTTAGTTTCAGCTAGATGAATAAAATGAAAAAATGTTTCGTATTATTTGTAATTAAAAGGAGTTTTTCAGGCTAAAAGCAAAATTTTAGTGCGTAATTATATGACCAGTAGAAAAGAGCAGGAATAGTGGCTACTAAGGAAAGGCAATAAAATCACATCTTTGATGTTTGATCTCATAAAAAGAGTTAATTAAATGAAAATGACAGCAAAATTATTAGATACACAAAAAGACTAGCAAAAACTCTTAGTAAAATCATTAAAAAAGACTTAAATCTAAATAATCTATAAGAAAAATTAATAACAATACTAGTTAGTAAAAAAAAAAGAAAAAGTTGCATGTGGTTGCTATTTCTATTAATAAGGAACTAGATCGAAAACAAGTTTCAGCATCTGGTAAATACTAGTTGAGCTATATGTGTTTTCTATTAACGAAGTATTTGATATAGTTTTTTTTATTGAAATACTATTCTTAATAATTTTTTAATAATTAAAAAATATTAAATATTTTTATTTAATATCTTTAAAATATAAAAAATTGATATTTTTTCTTAATAATTAAAAATGATTAAAATAATTCAATAGGAAGATTATAAGTACACGACACTAATTCCGAGAGCTGCTTGAACTTAGCTCCCCGTTGTTATTTTTGAAGTAATAAAAGTATTATTTGTGATTGATAATTATTTTCTCTTGAAATATGTAATGATTGGATACTTTCACTTTCGCGTGTTCAAAATTTGTTTTCAGTTTGGATGATGATGAACTCGTTGTTGTTTTCTGTAGAAAAAAAAAATGTTTTCTGTTTGACAAGATATTTATTTTATTGGGAGTGAATTCTTTCGTTGGTTAACATGGCCATATTATTAGGGGTGAAAGTGGGCTGAGTTGAGCTTTGCCTCGAAAAGTCCTAGCCTACGTCAAAAAAATTTAATTTGGCCTGGCCCAAGCCTATTACGAGTTTAACTGTTAGCCCGACTTGGCCCGTTTATAAAAAAATAAATGGTCTGGCCCAGCCCATTAGCCTCTTAATTTTTAACTTCCAAACATAACCATGAATCAACTTTACAAAATACTCAAATTCTGTTGCTAAACTAAAAATCATAATTTCAACGTCCAAACAGAATCATGAATCACAACAAAACTCATACAATTTACATTTAAGTCACTTTCAAAAGCAAAATGCTTAAACTAAATAACATATTTCATCATATCCAAACAAACAAATCCATACTATGTAAATTAAAATAATTACATAAATTCAACAAACACATCATGATGCTTGTAGTAAGTATAATCTCTCCCAAAAACCTTTTAATATATTCATATACATAATTTAACATGATGAGATATTGGTTTCTCCTATATAAGAAATAAAGTTAGATTTCTATTAAGATATAATCGAATATAATTAAGTTATAAATAATTACAATTGATTAAATTTAGATCTTTTGTTTTTTCTTCGAGGCATTCTTACTTTTTTATTTCATTTAAAATAAATAGTACAATATAGGCCGGCTTGTAGGCTTATAGGTCAGGCCTTGTGAAAGTGGGCCTACGGCCTTTTTATTAAACAAGCTTTTTCAAGGCCCAGGTTCGGCCTATTTTACGAAATATACTATGTCAGGTCTGGCCTGACATAGGCCGAGTCGTAGGCCCCTGTGGACCGGCCGGGCCCAATTTCACCCCTACATATTATATTACAGAATTCTAACCATTCATCGTAAATCAACATATCTTGTCATTTATTGTTTTAATAAAAAAAATTCTCTTATTTCCCCATCACCGGTGATTGTCCATTAATAAATAATTATGATCCACATAATCATATTAATTAACATATAATCCATATTTAATTGAATGTTAATTAAAATGCAATTATTGCATGCTTTGACCCATTTTTCTTCGCGGGACACCTAATATACTATAGTTATTGCTTCTTTCAGTTTTATTTTCTGTGTT